GCCCCCCCTTCTCTTACCTTCCTTACCCTGCTTTAGGACAGTGAGTACTACAACTCCTTGAAGTGGATCCTGGAGAATGACCCCACCGAGCTGGATCTCATGTTCTGCATCGATGAGGAGAACTTTGGCCAGGTAACATTCCTCTAACAGCTTTTTCTGCTGCCATTCCTCACGCAGCTCTCTTGTGCCATCACTTACACATTCCTGACACAGATCTGCTCATCTCCACCACCCAAGGTCACATTTGTACACATACATTTTCCATGGTAGGAATATACAGATACATTTTTCCTGGTGTGGTACAGTCAGCACAATTGCAGGTCTATTTACCAACACTGGCATCTTTCGTGATACAGACTCTGAGTACAGTCAGTTCCAGATGGGACCATTACACTCTTCTCTCCTTACCCTTCTTTTGGCCTGTTTGGAACACATATGTGTCACTCCAGCAAGACCTTCATTCCATTGCCCTGCTACCAGTCAGCTGCACCATCCCCCTGACATTGTCCAACACAAGGCAGGACAACATCAGCCATCATCTGACTTGTAGTCAGGAAATTCCCCACCTGCAGACTGAACTGAACTGCAATAAATCAAACATTCTTTATTTTTTCCCCCCAATACAGACATATCAAGTTGACCTGAAACCAAACGGATCCGAAATCATGGTGACCAATGAGAACAAGAGGGAATACATTGAGTACGTATTCTTTCACCTGTCTGGCTTTAATACAAAAGATGAGAGAGCACATTTCCAGTGACCATTTTTGGTACCCACTGGCTGATAACAGGTGCTTTATCAGGCTGCTAGCAATTTATTACTCCTTTACACATTTAACAAGTTGCTGTGATTGTCCATGCTGAAGCAGAGCTGCTCCTCTCACTGCAGTTTGTTCTCTTGAACACTGTCAGCTCCTCAGCTCTCTGGAGTCCGTTCTCTGGCCGTTGAGGTCCTGGCAGCACACACAAGAGTGGTCCAGGTGACAGGGTCCCCTCAGGACTGTGTCCCCCAGCACAGGGGCTCAGCCTCACTGCCTCCTGGGGCTCAGGCCCCTCTGGTGCACGCGTTCCAATGCTGGGGCTGATGCAGCAGCCCTGCCTCCAAACCATGGGCATCTCCTCCATCAGTCAGTCACAACATGAGAAAAACACCACCAGCATTTCCCTGCTGTTTCATAACCAGCATGGTGCTCTGGTTTTGTGTCTCCTACAGCCTGGTCATCCAGTGGAGGTTTGTCAACAGAGTTCAGAAACAAATGAATGCTTTTCTGGAGGTAAGTTCTTCAGCTGCTCCCCCCAGTAATACCTTACCCATCAGTTTCTGCTTCCATCACCACACTTACTTTTGATTTCACCTTCTGTATTCTATATTCTTATTGTGATTCCCTTGTAAACCTACACTGAGACTGAAATTATTTAGCTATTACCTTTTAATTACAGAATCAAACTTCACTAACTGTATATTTCATTCAGAAAACCACATAAAGTTACCTTTGCTTTCTTTTAGGGATTCACAGAACTTCTCCCTATTGATCTCATTAAGATATTTGATGAAAATGAACTAGAGGTGAGTTGGCTTCATTGCCATTCAGAGACAACAGACCAGTAAAGTTCAAATACATGTGTTATGTTCTAGGCTTCTCACTTGCCACTTCTCCCTCCATCTGAATACAAAATATCCTTTTCTTATAGGGCAAAAATATAATCTCTCACAAATTAATAACATAATCCATCACATAAAACACCAATACAATTATTCAGAGAGGCAGTTGAACATGTACATATCAAATCATTTAATTAAGGTACTGAGTTCATGCCACTCATTAGTAACACTCCAGTTTGGACCAAAATCCCACAAAAGATGCCATTACACAAAGTGTATGTATGTCCATGCATCACAGTGCACCTTGTTTGTCCTGTAAAGTGAAACGTGCTTACAGGGTTCTCCTGAGGAGATGCTCCAATTCTCCTTTACATTCACATTCCTATTTGTGCAGCTTCCAAGGGTCTGAGAGCAGAGGGGAACTGTCACTGTTTTCCTTTGATGAAGTGCACACGCTAAGAATATGTCCTCAACTCACCCTGTCACAATTTCCTTCCATCTGCAGTTACTCATGTGTGGCCTTGGCGACGTCGATGTCAACGACTGGAGACAACACACCATCTACAAGAACGGCTACTGCCCCAACCACCCCGTCATCCAGTGGTTCTGGAAGGTAAGGCCAGTTCTGGGCTACTCTGACTATGCCCGTGTGTCTGCATGTGTTGGAGGTAACAGCTCTGGTACCAGGAATACACCCAAGATGGGAAATTGGATCTTTACTTTTTCCTAAAGTGTCTTGACATAATTTTAGGAAAAAAATAAAAAAAGCTACTCACTTCTAGGATTTTTCCCATTACACTGCTCAGCGTCTCTTTTGCTTAGAAATAGAAACTCTTACAGCTACATGAAGGTGCTTCAGGCCTGATTGCTTAAACCATGTGTGACGGGGGTGATACACGAAGACCCTGTGTCTGCCCAGAGGCCTGACGC